AAAACCCTGAGGGATGCGCCGTGCATTTGACTTCATTGAGTACCATAGAAGCTGTTGGAATGCATATCTGACCTTTACAATGACTCGCATTTACTTTTTCTTAAATTTGGCTAGTTGTTTCTATAATACTTATTCGACAAGGTATAAAAATCTCGACGGATTCCGATTTATTTGCAGGCTAGAAATTAGACAGGAACTAGGAATAAATGTTCAGAGTGAGAACGTCATGCTTGCTTATCAAGAACAGAGCATATTAGCAAAATGTTTTCCGTCAGTCTGTCTCTTAAACAATACGTACATATTACGAGTTTCTCATCAAAAAAAAAAAATTTGTGTCAAAAGACGTACACAAAGCAATACCGCGCTGTTCTTCGAAGAACAACTCCTTAGTTAACATAATTCAGTTACTCGATAGCTTTTTTCTAGTATCTACCGTGAATGTTTCACACATTCAACAACCAGCGTCCTGTATAGAAGAACGGTAGCGGGTGAGATTGCCTCATTCGAGAGATGCTTCACTGAAGAAGATCCGACTCGATACGAAGGCGAAGACGCCACATCGAGAAGACGAACAACTGTCGGCCATCGGCAAAACGATTCTTCATTAATCTTGTGTAAGCTTTTCAAAGAAAGAATTCATGACTGAGAATTCATATTTAAATAGCCCCTTTTCTGAGTTTACGTCAGTCCTGCTTTTTAATTCTGTTAATTTTACGCAATAAAAATGCCGATGTAGTGATAAAAAAACTCTCGACATTGATTGATTCCTGAGAGATGGGCCGTGCATTCGACTTCATTAAGTATCGTTGGAGGTGATTGAATGCGCATCTGGCCTTTACAGTAACTCGCTGTGACCTACCGATGTATCGAGCCAGTGCTGCTATCCTCTCACATAAGTGTTCTACCAATTTGCCGACAACGGAGGGATGGAAGGCTTGATGGGCCATAGGCGCTTAACCAAGCCATATTTCAGTAACTCTTTTTAAAATTATTTAGCAACTTCATTTTGTTCTAATGCAATGAAAATGCAAAAGTAGTGATTTGTAGACCTTTCTTATGTCTCCTATGTCTTGCCTGATGAGAAAAATGTTGAGCCCATTGCGATACCTCTCTGCTCGAGAGAATACAAATAGGCATGCAGCCGACGATCTCCATTCAAATACTCAGGCAGGAATAATACCTCGTGAATGGCTTGCTAGAGGTCTCATGAGTTTCAGCGAGAAGGATTAGAACAAGTAAAAGGTCATATGAGGGGGGGGAGGGTTATGCTTGGTGTCGTCTGACTTACAGAAATGAGTTGTTCAGTTATACCAAGTATCGATGTAGGCGTTATTTTCGGCATTGTGCTGGTAGACCTTTCAAGTGTTTCTGCTTTTCCCGATTTGAAGCACCTCTTAAGGTCATCAAATCTGGGGCATAATAGTATTATGCGCTCTAAGGATATTTCCAGGTTCTTCGACGGAGTCTGAAAGTGGACGACCGTGCTGATCTCCTTCGAAACCTCTTCAGTAACAATATTTACGTCGATATGACCTACAGTTATAGAAATTTACTTCATTTTTTCAATCATATATGGACATTTAATTGTCACTCACAGCACTTTTCTAGGCCTCAGTCACACTCTTCATTATTGCACTCCGCCCTTCGTTTAACTGTTACAATTACAAACCCAAGGAAAACTATTTCATTTCATAATGACATGTTCAACGGTTGATTCGCCCATTTAGACAAGAATTCTTGGACATTGATAAGCTGATCGGTGGGGTTAGTTTTAATGGCAATCAGAAATCGATTAAAATCATCCTTGTCCGCACAGAGATCTCCAAACTCGACGCGACTCTTCGTGATTGGATAACCTTAAAGTATTTACAGATCGATGAGCATCGAAGATATTACAAAAGCGAGTGGATGTCAATTATTCCAAAAGTGGAAATTTTTTAAAAATGGCTTCGAACTAATGTTCACTTCCACTATTTCTTTACAGAACTATACCTGTGATTATACATTCAGGCCATCTTTGTCCGTTGACTTCAATGGTGGCCTCAAATAAACCACGTGAGTCGAGTTTGAGATCTCGTGCTATTCCGTCATCTACCGAAGTTGCTAGTACCCATTCCTTGATTTCTTCGTGCAATGAATTCTGAATTAATTTACAATTAAGTGGCAAGGAAAAGTGGAATGACGTTGAGGTGCACACTATTACCTCAACCCATGGAGTTTCCGGAAGTGGGACCACTGATGGAATATCGGTGCAATCAAAAGCAGTGTAATCCACCAGCGAAGCATCTCCTGAAAAGATTCATTTATAGCGATAGAAATATCCTAATAAATTAGTGAAAAAACTATACCGTCTTAAAATTCATTCAATTGAGATGAAAACACACACAAAGTTTCCAAGTCAATATCATTTTCTCAATGCTTGAAGAAACACGTAAATAAGAGTGAATAATGTTGAAGACATCGCCATGTTTGGCCTTCGTTTGCAAAGTTTCCATATTACCTAGCAAAACTTAATTTTATTTATAGAATGCTGTTGTTAAAATTTCATTGATAGGTGCTTCGGGAGCGGGTATCGCAGTGGTCATTGATCACTTCGATCAGGAAGCAAGGTTCAGGTTCGATCCCCTCCCCAGAAATCTCCTCCAACCGACGTAGGAATGCTTTAGTGGGCGCAAAGAGAATCGAGTCGATGAGCCTTCTATAAAATTCGTAGGTTAAAGACGAAATCCTCAAGCAGCAGTCGAAACAACATGTGAAACGTTTTAAGGCCAAAGTGGAGGATAAATGTAAGGACACGAATTGAACAGAAGAAGTGCTGAGATCAAGATTGAGTACAAGTGAAAAGAACGTAAAAAACTGCATTTTTTAATAACAGAAAAATCTCATTCATGTCCACTGCAAGAAAAATTTATAGTATTTCAAACGGAGGTTGAAGAGAACTTCTAGTGGGATCTGTTGTGTTGCCCACGTTCCAAAGTCGTGCAATCTATAAGTGCTTTAATCAATGCAACAATCTGATTGGAATGGAACAAGGAATCACTCATACTAATACGTTACGACTTTCAGACATGGCTAACTAAATAGACATAACTAGCAAGAAGAATGAAAGTGGTAAAACAAGAAAGTAAGCAGGAATAAAAATTTCGATATCATTTGCTTTATTGACGATATTCATCAAAACGGTCACATGTGAATCCCATCAGGATGAAACTCCATGTCTCCCTTGCTTGCAAGCCTTTTCTTCTTTGTCCGTTGGTTTTTTGAGTAATATTCTTTGTTTCATAGTTTATTATCTAATATATACAGTCCGAAGACGACACAACAAAACTGCCACAATTTCTCAACCATTAGAGCATTTGAGGAGATATTTCGCAAGTGCACAAGAAAAGCCTTTCCAGTTACCTTAAAGGATAAAAAAGCTCTCGGCGTTGATCAATCCCTGAGAGAAGTGCCATGCATTCAACTTCATAAAGCATCGCTGAGAGGTGATTGAATGCATATATAGGCTTTACAGTGTCTCGCGGCAGCCTGCCGATGTACCGACCCAGTGCTGCTATCCCTCCAGACAAGTCTGGTACCAATTTGCCGACCCCGGAGGGATCGAAGGCTTGGTGGGCCATGGACACTGCGATCGATTCCACGTGTGTGCCGCAGAGCGCCCCTGACCACTGCGCCACACACACCTCTTCCGCTATCCTTTACCTTATAAAATCAAATTCTCAGATAGCTGAGAATGGTAGACTTGTCTGGAGGGATAGCAGCACTGTCTGAAAACTCATAAAAATCCTTTCTACTTCTGTTCAGCAAACACGAGGCGCTATTTTATTTCTTTATTACGCACAAGCTGACGTTTCGGCGGATTTTCCCTTCCTCAGAGCCTGGAAGGGTCAAGTTGACAGCAATCCACTCGGCCAAACACCTCCATAACCAAACAGAGAAAACGCTAAACCAAGATTTCAATCACATTTAGCATAGCTCTGCACACTCACCGCTTTCTATGAGTCTTCCACTGAGTATGTCGCGTTAAGACCGACCGCACAGAATTCACATGGAAGCGTAATGTGCCCCTCCCATCAGAATAACAGGTTTATATACTGTCCAATATCACGCGTGATAAGGAGGCATTTCTCCCTCCGGTTCATTTTTGGATTCTTGGAATTAATCCAGAATGCCTCTAGAGTTTTGCGCGCTTGTGTTCTCGAATCTTGCGCGAGGATCGTAACCCT